TTTTTTTTGGAATGAAATTGCACTTGTATATAAGCACTAGTATCGTACTTTATTCGGCGCTTAAAACATACTTTTTCATTTAATTACTCTATAGTCTCACCTGGCGGTGCTGTTTCCGTTGTCGATGGCGTCGTGTTACTCATTTTGGTCACGGTACGTCACGGCAAACACGGCCGTTGTAGTCTTCAGCTGCTCTTTGTTGGAGGGAGGTCAGGCTTGCTTTGTGTGGTTTAGTGGAAGTTGTCGAATTTTTATAGAGAGATGTGCTTGAGTGTTTTGCAACTTTTGGCTACGTAAATGGGACCTCTTTCGAAACTACTTACGCATGGATTTCGTAAACACATTTTACAATACCGATAAATTGCGAAATGGAATCATTACAAATGCGATCTATAAGATACTAGAAAATGTTTTCACAAGTTGTTTCCCAGCGATTCTGAACAAATACACCTTCGGTACATCATCTAGGGAAAAGTTTTATTTGTTTCATGAAATGACGGGTTCAGTTGAAGCAGTAAAATCTTCGTTCCTTAATGTAAGAATGAAAGATTACGCATTTAAATGTACGCGAATTGCGCTACAACAGTTTTCGAGAACGAAATTAAACCCTACTCCCTGTCAATTTGACTCTGGAATGTCTTGCTGACACTTGCTGCCACGTGCTGTTGCATAATTTGACATAATTTATGCGTCGTACTCTTCTCGGCATGGTACTCTATTCGGCATTTTACCCCAGCAAAACAATTCTTGGCTTGCACTGTCACGCAATCCTGATGCAATAACGAAATTATTCGAAAACCATTTAGTGGATAAAGTCAAGCAATTGTGATGTTATAGGAGATTAATTAAATGACACTTCTCCAATTTTTAAGTCTGTGCGTTTTCCCAAAGCTCAGATACTCGTCGAAATATTTTGCACCTCCGCGGTACACGTACAGTGCGGCCGGAAAATAGTGTAAACATCTGCAACTTACTTTGGCTATCTAGGCGACTGATTATCTGTATTGAGCAAACAAGCATTTACATAAGCACTTTTCCTAATACTTCAACTTCTGAGTGGGCTAAAAATCACGAGATAAGTATATGTTTTTCGACAAACGCATTCGTAGCTCAATGTCACGCAAAAATGTCCCGCTTGCTTGGGAAACGCAAAAACAACAACAACAACGACGACGACGACGACAAAGACTAAGGAAAATAGACTGAAACGTTTATAGGTTGATATAAAGACCTTGACTCATTTCACGCCCTAAAGACCTGCAAACTAGTATAAGGAATGCAATCAAAGGCGGAATAGCTTGAGCACATCGATTCGATTGAATTTCGTACGACTTCAGTTGCAGAACATTTAGCTCAATTGCAATATAGCTAGTACTTCTCAGTATAACGACTGCATGGGTACACGCGGCAAGCGTCTAGTTTATTTATAATCTTATTAAAAATTTGAATCATTTGTATTATACAGTCAGATTTTTATTTTGAAGTAAACTTCATAACCAAACTTTAGCAGTAAAATTTACTAAAAAAGCTTACTCCCACAACTCGAAAGAAAATACAAATATCAATATAGCTGAATCCCCATAATTTTATGCAAGACGCGTCTGCTAATTGCTGATTTGATGACTCATTTCAGCGGGAAAGTCCCTCAAGTATGACGTCACGGCACAGCCGTGCCGCTCTACATCAACTTCTTGGTTTTTCTGAGAAATGTCACGCAATAAGACATTCCAGCAAGTATGCATGCCAAATAATCCAGAGAAAAGACAAAATAGTTGGTTCATGACTTTTTCAAAATTGTTGCATTTATTCATAGATTTGACTAGCAAATAAAACATAGTTTTCAATCGATTTTCTCATATTTTGATTCAAAAATAAAAACATAGTTTTCTCAATTTTATTGTCATACGACTGAAACAAAATCGAGTAACTAAAAAATCTTATGACTAAATCACAACTTGTGACTAAAACAAAACTTGTCGCAAAGAAATCAGTTTTTTCAAAAACTGATTCCGTTGCGCCAAGTACAATACTACTCTTAAGTACTGCCTATAGCACCCAGGAAATAAATCAATCAATAAATAAATCAATAAATAAATCAATCAATAAATAAATAAATAAATAGAGCGGTTTTCAATTGAGTGTCGTAAAACCAAAACCAAACCAATTACTTACCAATTAGACTACTCAGCCAATCTCAAACCGAAGTAAAACCAAAACCAAAACCAAAGTAATTGTCTAATTACTTTCGACACTCAATTGAAAACCGCTCTAAGGGGATGAAATCGGTAAAACCCGTGTGCTTATAATGTTCGTTTCCAGCAGAGCATGGGAAGGATCATCATCATTTTTTCCTTCTCTCCTAGTGCAGAATGGGGCCACCTCCACCTCCCTTTATGTCTTGAATCCGAGATCCTCTCTCTCCTTGTTGATCGTTCTCTGCAATGTCTCTCTTGGCCGTCCTCTTCGGCGTTTGCCTTAGGGTGCCCATGTTAGTGCTATCTTGCAATTTTGGTCTGAAGATATCCTCAAAACATGGCCCGGCCATTTCCATCTCCTAGTTCTTACTTACTCGCTGATTGTCCTTGTGCCTGATCTTGATCTCTAACCTTCATCGACCAGTAAACGATCAGGATTTTCCTCATGCATTAGTGCAGGGAAACGTCTAACTTGGAATCGCCCTCTTTGGTCATTCGCAATGTCTCGCAACCATGGAGTAGAACGGCAACAACATTCGTTTTGATCATGATCCTTGTCTTTCGACTGAGGAAGCTACTTTTTCCATACCCTGTTAACCTTGTTAAACCCCACCCTTGCTTTCCATAGCCTGCTCTTATATCACTAGCTGTACCTCCTTGCTTTGGAACCAAAATATACAAAACTGTCCACATCATCCACTTCTCTCTCTCCTGGTTGGTTAGTGGATCCAGTCTGCCAGGGTTGTACCTCAGAACTTTGGTCTTCTCTTCATTGGTCTTTAGACCTTCTTTCTCCCGAACTGGTCTAGTCGGTTCAGTTTCTTCTGTGCATGACTCCATCTGCTAGACAAAAGTGTCAAGTCATCGGCAAAATCAAGATCGTCAAGGGTTGTTGTCAGTTTGCATCAGATTCCACTTTTGCTGTTCTCCTCGGTTCTCTTCATAACCCAGTCAATGATCATGAGAAAAATGAAACCGGACATAACACAACCCTGTTTTGCTCCTGAAAGCATCTCCAACCAATCGAGATGCCTGGTCTTATCTATAAAGGCACATCTGCAATTCTTGTACATACTTTTCACCATGTCGACCAACTTGATTGAGATTCCATAACTCTTCAGCAAGCGCCACAGTGTCTCTATATGAACACTATCACTGAATGACATCTCAACGTCTACAAAAAATAGTTAGAAGCAAGAATTCCACTCAATGAACCGTTCGACAACATTGCGTAGCACGAATATCTGTCCCAGTGGTACTTCTGCCACTTCTATATCCGGCTTGCTCGGCTCTCAGATTCTGATTGACTTCTCCTCGTATGTATGAAATGAACACTCTGCCTAATTCCTTTGCCACTGTCGACATAAGCGTTATTCCTTTCTAGTTTTCAAAACTTTCAAATCACATTTCTTTGGTAATCTGACGATCAAACTCCTACTCCAGTCATTTGGTATCTCCTCCTGGTCCCAGATTTTTTGGAATAACTAATGTAATGCATTGGTGGTCACAACTATATCTGCTTTCAACATCTCGCCTATGATGGAATCTAATCTGCTGCTTTTCCATTCTCCATGTTTCCAACGGCCTTTCTAATCTCTTCTTTTGTGACATATCCGGTCTCGTTCCCTAAATGGTTGGTGCATCTTGCGCTCTGATAGCTATGGAAGTGATAAAAATCTTTCCCCTTGTGCTATTTGGTTGTTAATATTGCCATAAATACAGACATCTTGAATGCCATCAATAGAAGAAATGTTTTTCTCCCCAAACATTAGAACTGTAAGCTGTTTGGCCATATTAGCTGCATTAACGACCCATTCAGCATTTTCTAGTCACAGTCATATTTGACAAGTCAAGACGACGAGAACAAGAGACAAAATGTAACACAAACGTGACGAGCAGCCAGCTTACATTGTGCTTGTTATGGCTTGTTCATCGGCCATGCATATTCATGAGTGAAAAAAGAGGGAAATGGTCAATGTTCCATATCCCAAATTACATATTCTAGCGGTCACCCAGCGGAATTTTTGATACAAAACCTGACTGGTCGCAGCAATTTACAGAAAAAAAACACCTCATTTTTGATGCTTTGATGTCAACATGAACTGTACAATCCTGAAGGCCTCCCAGGGGCTTTGGGGAACAAGGGAACATGATCATTTCAAAGGAACATGGGAAAGTTTGGGATCAATTTGAGGAAGAAGGAATATCTTTACTATTAAAGGGAACTTTGCCAAAAATTTTAGAGAACATGGAATTAATTTAAAGGGAACAAGGGAGAAAAAGTGAAATTTTCAAGGTAGCATGCCACCCCCCCTGTAACTGTATTTTAGCCTGTTTTAAGCAAGTATACAAAATACAGCATTAAAGTGCACCATACTAGGCAGCCAGGAGAGGCTGTCACAACTGCGATTATTCTGCACAACTGAGAGATTTTGACTAAATGGAATGCGTCAAGCCCAATGGCGGATCCCAGGCAAGCAAAGGTTTTTTATGGTAAAAAATTGTTTTTGGCTTTTTCGGATAGATCACATTGAACTCTTTAAAAGTTCTACGGAAAAAGATTGAAGGTTTCAAAATCGTTCGATCAGAAATTGGGCTAGTGTGTTGGCTGCTAGTGACAAAGGGTCCTTCGAGCAGGAGACGTTTCTTGCATTGGACGAGGAAGACGTTCGACGTTCGCTAAGCATCACTTCCTTAGCGCTTTCGCCCTTCGAAGTAACATCTCACTCAATACGTCGTGGGTTTCATTCACATTGTATTAAGCTAAGGCATTTAGAAAGTCGAAAAGAATAAGCAGGGACGAAAATTATTTCCTTACTAACTTGGGTGCCTGAACAGAGGATTTCAGATCTTGCAAAGGATATTTTCCTCCTGAAGCAACATTTGAGACTCCTTCAGAACAGACAATATTCGTATTCCCGGTATTGGACTGAAACTAGCTGGCAACGGAGGTTTATGCGAGGGAATAAAAAGGGATAAATGCTATTTGCATTTAAAAAGACCCCGCATTAGCCCCTCAGTTGCAAGCTAGCTCTAGTCTAATATGATACGAGCGCTATTCTTAAAGTAAATGAGCGTTCACTTTATCGACCACCAAGTCGTCACTTTCACACTTTCTGAGTATTTATCTCATAACACAGGAAGAACGCCTTAAAGTACATTTTCTCTCGTATCTCGAAAGGAAAATTTCAGCGAGTTAAGCGCACATTTTGAGTTCGTTTTCAGCAAGTTTTCAATGTTTGTGACGGAAATTTGGAGAGAATGTAGCCCGATAGTCAGGCCAAAAAACCCTTAAAGGAGAATTCTCATTTTTTGCTCTCTTCATTCATCATTTCTCCTTTACACGCCACCTGGCGCATAGGGTATCAGCAAGACTCCTCCATTTCTGTCGGTCCTTGGCACGCTGTGCGGCCTGCTCCCAATTAAGGTTTAGGGCCTAAAGTTCTGCTTCTGCAGTCCTCCTCCGGGTGGATTTTGAGCGGCGTCTCTTCGTTTCACCCTATGGTGTCCATCTGAGAGCAACTTTCGAGATGTTAGTAGTTTCTCTACGGAGCACGTGACCGATTAAACGCCATCTTCGCCTGATAAGAACAATTCCCATCTCTCCCTGCTCTGACAGTTTGAAGAGCTCATTGTTGGAGATCTTTCTTGACCAAAAGATACGCAAGACTTAACGTAGAACGGAAGAGTGAGAGGGTTGCAGCTTATGCAGATAATTTACAGTCATTCTCCAACATTACTATCCATAGAGTAAGTAGTACAGACAGTACACAAGCTTAATGTTTGTGCCTCTGCTGTACTTTCTTCTCCTCCACACAGGTCGCAATTTTCTGACGGCCCCTCTAGCTTTACCAATCCTCTGTCGAATGTCCTGGTCGGCTCCCCCTTCACTGAAGACCGTGCTACCCAAATACGTGAATTGATAGGTAGTTGTAAGTGTAGCTGTCATAAATGGTCAATGGTGCTGAGAAGTTTACAGGCAAGACCTCTGTCTTGTTAGGGCTGATCTTAAGCCCCACCTGCCAAGCGAATCTATTAAACCTGTCAGATTTTTCCCGCCTGTCATTAATAGAATGAGATAGCAAAGCAATGTCGTCCTCCAGAACGGTCGAAAGTGTCCAGTGCATTCCTCTCCTTCTGTCTTCAGTAGCTTGAGATAGCATCCATTCGGTGACAGTGTTGTACAGTAACGCTGTTTATCAACTCTCGAATTTGCGTGTCGATAACAAATAACGTGTCAATAACAAACCAGACAAGTAATCACAATTTCACGACAGTTTTTTAGAGAAAGGTGTCAAGAAGACATAGCGAAGTTGATCGCTTCCTCCCGATCAAATCCGAAAGGAAACGAACTTGATTAGTGAACCTCTTTACTTTACGAAATCGGGCGCTGTAATCGGAAAACACTAAAATGTTTGATTTTATCGAATATTCCTTCGTAATCTACAATCCTTGAGCTTTCAGAAAATATATACTTTACCAGGGTTTGCGTAAAAAAGTTCGACAGTAAGGTGACGGAAACGAATGATGGTTATTTGGGCATACATTTGTCCAAATTTTAGGCAATTGATAAGAAAAGGCCCATCTTCCCCTCTAACGCGTACTTCCCCCTCCTTTGAGCACGTCTGGAGGCTTATACTGTTGAACTCGTTTGTCCAGTTCCAAATTACCAGTTTTCATTTCGGAGAGCTTTTTGTCTCAGACGATTTACACCGATCGCCGGAAAAAAAATCGGCAGTTTTGTAATTTCCGGGGGGTTAAACTTCCACTAAAATTTCCACTTAACTCTCTGAAGTGTGTATTTTCAACACATCTAACTGGTACTCCAGTATGAGAAATAGAAAATAACATATACTTGTAATGCACTTCTCAACATCAGGCATCGTTGGTGCTTTTCAAGTCAATCTGAGGGACGCGCATAGAGCCAACACCTACGAGGTACAAGAGTACGATGATTCTGGTATCTTCCGAACCAAGTACAATGTGCTATCCTTAAATGATACACACGCTCATCTCCACCGAACCTGGACCAACTTCGACTACCAGCAATTTACAGATGGTGCTCCGCCGAAAGGAGAACACAAGGTTCAGTCTCAGCATAGCGTTCATGTGCATCTTAAAGATGGAAAAGTAGATAACGTTCACCGCACCACAAGTGCATTCTTCAGGCCAGCCAAAGGACACCCAAGGGCAGAGAATTTTAAAGCCTTCGCAAAACAGGATATAGAGATGTCAACCAGTGGATACAGCAAACTGACCTTAATATCGTGCTCTGGTCCTGAACATCAACGTTCCAAGCGCTCCACTGCCTGGAACGAACATCTCAAGACAACAAAATCTCTTACTAGAGACAGCTTACTGCTTGATGACACAGACAAAATAAAAGTTTCAGAGATAAGCAAGGAAAAGAAGAAAACAAGACCTTTGTACGAGGTCTTACGCTGTTTTGTAGACGACACCGTTGAAGAGCGGGAAGTTGGTTATTGTACGAATGAGCTGCACCACATGGTTCGCAATGATAAAAATGTATTCAGAGCAGTCAAAAGGTTGGTCCAAAATCGAAATCACCAAAACCTAACCTCATGGGCCGTTTATTTAGCCGCTCTAGCTGCGCACGGCAAATATGAAGCCCAAAATACCCTAGCATACGCCGTAAAGACAGATTATCCAAGGCTTCTCAGCAGCGAAGAATACGAGACTTTGCTGATATCCATTTTGTACCTACCAGACGGACCACTGCACTCTAGTCTCTTTAACGCCCTTTTTGATCTGACGATGGAAGACGGCAAAGAAGAAGCTGTTACAGCTACAGCAATGCTGGTCTTGGCTGGACTTACAGAAAAAGCAAAAAGAGCAGGATACAATGAAACCTTAAGCGATAGCGTTGCTGAGATGATTCACAACAGGTACCGAAACAAGTCAAGCATTTATCATCCGGAAAGTATGGAATATGAATCACACCTGAGAGACCACATTTGGGCATTTGGAAATCTTGGTCATCATTCCGGACTTCCAGTCATTCTCGAACACATTGAGCACGATAACTCTGATATTCGATCAGCGGTGATTTCAGCTATGCGAAAAATGTCTCCAAAGCACACAGACCGATATCTGATGACAGCCTTGAACCAAGATGAACACAAGGAAGTCAAGACGGCAGTAGTCAATGTTTTTATTGATCGCCACCAAAACTTGACTGAATCAGTAGTTCTAGGATTGGAGCAAGCAATGTGGCACGCCGACAAGGACGACTCCTTGGACTCGGCAATACAAGAATTCCTTGAAAACCATGGCAATCATAGCAGAGCAACAGATTTACGTACCAAGCGTAGAGTAATTCATCGCCGCAAACGTGCCCTGATACCAGAGCTCCGCCCTCGCAGCTACGAAATCGGCCGAGTGAAGCGCTGGGATAAGGTTGTTGGGGGAGACTGGTTAGGTGCTGAAACTGTCATTCAGTTCTTGAATAAACTCGAGTTACGCGTTGGACTTTTCGGTGGAAAATTTGAAATTAATCTTGATAATTACGCGTTGATTAGAGGTCACATTCTCAAGATTCCTTTTGATGTAGCCAAGGGCAAAGCTGCGTTCAAGGTCTCAGCAAGTTTTAAAAACGACATTCCAAAAGATCTTATTCACACTGTTGCAGATGCTGGAGATGAACTTCTCAGAACCTTCGACAGTATTGCAAGTGTAATTACTAAGGAAATCGAGAAATTCCGAGCAACACTCGCCAGGTATATTCCGTTAAACATTGATAAGTTCACAGACTTTGCCAGAAAAATTAACAATTTTTTGAAAGAACTGAGTCTTCCTTTGCAAGCCATTAAGGCCACCAGAAAGATCATCGGCTTCTCCAGAGATTTGAGCTTTCGTGTTAACGACTGGACATCGTTGATAGATAGAATCAAGAAATTACAGCACAGTCTGACAAAGCTTAGTGGTTTGGAGACCCTGTTCAAGAAAGTTCTTCGTTCTTTAGACACAATACTTGGAATTATCGATGACGTAAGTAAGCAGCTGCCAAAAAATCTCCCGGGTGACTTTAATATTAAGAACCTTCTTCACAATCTCAGAAAGGTTCCTGTCAGTCAACAAGACGCCGAGATTAAGGAATATTTCAAGACACTGGGGTCGTCTGTGCCTGATGGATTCCGCTTACACCTTCCATTCAAGTTCTCGATCCATTTCTCCTTCTCACTAAACAGGTTTCAGCAAGTTTTGTTAAGATTGCAGCGTTTCAGTAGCAAATATCTGGAAATGTCTAATTCGCTGGATTCGTTGGATGGGACAAAGTTACCCACATTAAGCCTTCCGTTTCTGAAAATACATTCTCCAGTGTTTCAAAGCCGAAAGTTTAATTTTGGCCTTGATTTTGACTGGAAGGTTTACCTCAGATTCGATCTCAACTTGAAATCGACGGATTTACAGACAGTCGTTGCTCTCCTTGGAAAATTTGGAGAATTTTTCCGGCAGTTTACATTCCTCGATTTCGATCTCGACACGTTCTTTCAAGATATCTTACCCGGTAGATCATCTGACTTGCAAACGCATTTCACTGAGATTTACAAGAACGACCATGGAAATTCCTCTGACCCCTCCGACTTGTTGCAAGCGTTTCTTTTGAAAGTAACTGACACACTTGACCTTCATGTTCTAAACGTTTCTATCATAAGTCATATGACGGACTTTTTTCAAGAACTTGGACCAGCAATGACGCAGTTCGCAGAACAGAGTGTCCAGAAAACCTGTCGAATCCATGAAACAGCAGTAAACTTTTCCCAGAGCTTCGACGACTTTAAAGATAAGATTGAAAGGGAGGGCATATTTCTTCTCAAGGACATTCAAAATACAACACAAAGCGTTCTGAAAGAATTGCTTAACCTTACAATTGTCTTAGATACTTCAATAGACGAGATTGACCAGAATTTCACCACTTCTGTGAAACACTTCCTTTCTGACTCTCTAAAAGAAACTACGGACAAACTAAGCAATATTGAGAATATAGTAGATGATGCCGTAAACTTTACGAGAGGAACGTCGACGGAATTCAGTGGGGCCTGTACCAAAGCATCAACATTGTCCGCTGATGTCATCGATCAAGTACAAAACAACGCGCGTCAGGCAGTTAATGACCTAGCATCTGTGATTGGACCTGTGGCATCAAAAATCAAAACTATTGGGACAGATTTGAAGTCTGCAGTCACAAACGTCGAAACGTGGTACGAAGAAAACCTGGCAGCTCGTGTGGGAAAGATATCTCGTGTTTCCCAAATAATTGGGAATTTTCTATCAATTGTAAACACGAAAAATGACTTTCTTAACGCCCTTCGAGATATAGCTTCTCGCTTATATGAAGTTCTTAAACATCTAAAAAGCCTTCCAGAATATGCAATCAAGGCAAGGAAAACTGCAGACAAAATCATTGATTTTGCAAATGAATCACAGAATTATAAAGACGAAATTCAAAAGCTTGATATCCGAAAACAGTTCGGAAATGACTTTGACCAACGGCTACAAAATGTTTGTAACAAGTTCAAAGCCATCACTGCTGCAGTGCTTGTCAGACCTTCTGATGTGGTGCAAGAGCTCAACGAATTTTTCAATCAAGAAGCCAACACGCTCGTCGAAAAAGCGTTGCCAAAATTTAGGAGTATAAAGGATTCTGTAGACGAGACAAAAGAAGAACTGCAAGGAATTAGTTCAATGGTTGATGATGTGATAGCAGTTCTACACGATCTCAAGCCTGTTACGAGCTCGTTTTCGACCATACTTGAAACAGCAAGAAAGTTACCTGACTGCGAGCAGATGACTCAAATATTTGTCCAAAGCACGAGACCCTGTGTCCAAAAAGCACTCTCGATTGGTAGGTTCGTTATCCATCAGTATGAAGACGTTAAGGAAGAAATAGTTGTCCTCAGTGAACTGGTTCCGGAAACGTGGAAGAACTTCAAGTTACAGAAATGTGTGAAAGGCGGTACCTGCATTTCCAAAGCGTTCATTAAGCAAGGGAAAGTTATTAAAAAGAAGCTAGATATCGTTAAGGACAAACTTGAGAAAGCCAGTGAGTACACCGACTTGCTCAGCAAGTGCGAGGAGGGTGTCAGCAACATAACAGAAGTGGTGGACAGCATTAAGCTACTTATGGAGCAAGTACAGAACTTCTCTCTTCAAGATAATACTCAAAGAGTAAAAGCAATCTTGCAGAAGATCACAGGACAAACTGCTGCTGACGAAGACCAACAAAAGGGAACTGGAAGTCGAAAAAAGGCCATAAAATATGCAAACGATGGTCCGGAAAGAGCTGTTGATTATATACAAAAAGCCAAGGAGTTGGACAACCGAATTCAGAATTTTCAGGAAAATACTTTTCTGGGATTCCGTAGTGTTTACGAAGACGCTATACATAAACACGTACAGTCACTGAAGAGCATACGTTCCAAGCTTGAATTATCGTATCAGCTCTGGAAAAAGACAAAAGATGTTAATAGTGTTATGAAGGCTTTGGATACCAGTACTAAAGGAGCGCTGGCATTTGCTGATAATCTACAGGAGGTGACGGCTTTGTTTTCGAAGCCAACTAGCATCCTTCTTGCTGATATTGAAGAGATAAGCGACAAGGTGAAACCTCATCTTGACAAATACACCTCAGAAGTGGCCGATGCGGTTGACAAAGTCAATGGATTTTTAGAAAAAGTCACCAATTTTTTGAACACGATTCAGACGAGACAAAGAGGCTTAGACCCCAGCACTTACAAACCTTGGCAAGATTTACCGTATTGCTCTAAGGAGGTTTGCTTAAGATCTATAAGGAGATCATCACCTCAGTATTTATCAGATATTTTCACTTGGAAATTTCCGCATCTTGATGATCTATCTTCAATGAAAAAGAGCGGACGTTGGCTTACACCGGGATTGTTTGATGACTATAAAGTGGAGGGAATTGCTCAGCTCTCCGAGAAAGATATGATTCTGGGAATGTACGGCGTAGCAAGTAATGAAGACAAAGCATCGCTCCTTGTTGTTACAAACGTTGATAAGGGGGTCAAGAAAATTGTTCAGCTAAAGAAACACAGTGTTATTTTGTCGGTAAAAATTGGTGGTGTTGCTATAGCTAGGAATTACATCTGGATCAGCAACAATGATGGAAATGAAATCCTTTCGGTAAAAAAAGTCGACATAACGTCATCATTTTCTTCACCTAAACCTTCACAAGTTGATATCTTCAAGACTGTGACTGTCGAGGGAGCAGCTGGGTCTGTGTCTTACGATGAACAACGCAATGTCCTATGGATAACAAACGGCAAAGTGGGTAAGGCGTACGGTTATAGGCTGTCATTGGATGGCGATCTCGCTATCGCTGGTTTAGCCCCATACAGAGTAATTCACATCGGAAAGAATGCTCAAGGGATGACGATTGTAAGGCAGTTTGGTGACGACTATGCGTGTATCTCAAGGTGTGCAATGGTTGCTGGGTTTCAGTGCAAGCTTGAATTTCATCACTTGAATAATGGGGACGAAACGGGAGAAAACACCCTAGCGAGAGTGGTTCGAACTCCCTCTGGATTAGAATCTGTCAACAGAGTTGATAATGAAGTTATTTTATTGGCATTCTCCAGTGGTACGTTTGCTGAAAAAGAAAATTTCGAACTACTTGGTGGCGACTTTGAAGACAGATACTTTAAAATAAGGCTGCCGATTCTTAATACCACCTTTGGTATAAAAGAGAACTGTATTTACTTTAAAGTAAGGAACTACAACGTTGTTAGACCGCGGACACTCTTTCCAATCGGAGATCACATGTGTGGAACAAACCGCAAGCGAAGTATCTCTCAGGAGCTCCTGGAAACAGATGTCTACCATGAGCAACTTGAAAAGATTCACCGAAAAAGAGTGCAAAGAAGTGCTACAGGTTTAGGTTCCTGCGAATTTTCTCACAGAGGAACGTTATTGCGAGGTTCCCATGAATTTTATCGATATAAAACAGGTTTTTCAGTGTTTGGAATATATGTTGTGTTTGTTGCAGGTGCTGCTGGTCATTATAGTATAGGTTACCAGGCAACAATGTGTTTAAAAAAGAATCTCTTTACTTCAGGTTTGATTCCCGGGGCGTGGATCTCTGTATACGCTGGTGCTAGCGTTCCTCTTTATGTTATTAAAGCTGGAGTTACAATTGAAGCCAGGCTGCTGGAAATTTACCTTATTCCGGAGTTGCGTATATCGTTTGGCAGCTGGCCTTTAAAAGCATGCATCGAACTGAGAATTCGCTTGACCCCTTTGAGCATCAGAGTTTATCTTTGGTACAGGTTTATGAAAATAAGCATTGATTGTTGGTTAATTGGGTGTGATATAAAATTCTACTGGGGCTCAATGAACACTTTTAAGGAGTGGTCGTGGACAACAAAACAAATCAACCAAGTCCTTTTCACGAGTTGCCAGGAAGAAAAAGACAGCACGCCTCCGAAAGCGGGAACGTGTGTAGCTCGGCAGGTGGCAGACACCAAATACTTTGTAGAGTGGCATGGATTTAAGGAAGACTCAAAAATTAGTGCTTATCAAGTCAGGATAGGATCTATAGAAGGCTCAGTTGATGACTACTCTTCTTGGGTGGGTACATCGCTTAGCAAGGTTGTCACAAACCTCGCGGTCATGGACGGTAGAGATGTATTTGTCAGTGTTATGGCGACAAACGAAGAAGGACTCGACAGTCCCTTGGCAAATTGTCCGTCGTTTCCCGCGAGGAGAAAAGGACCACAAATTCGTTATGTTTATGATGGCGTAGTAAAAGGAAAAGATGCTGACTATCAGTCCGATAATTACACTTTAGGAATGAACTTCGCATTTAAAAGTGATTCAAATGAAATTGTCCAGATCAAATGGGGAGTTTCTTCAAACCCAGCTTGTACGTTAGATACATTAGAAGCAGACGTGGTTCCTCTGAAATCTCTTGGAGATTCTAACTCTATTCAAGTTAGTGGTTTAAATCTTGAACACGGAAAAACGTATTTCACTCGCTTGTATGCAATGAATAAGTTCGGATTAAAAGCGGTTATGTGCAGCGACGGTATCTTAATTGACATAACTCAGCCCATACCAACATATGTTCAAGACGGTGCTGGTGAAGTTGACGCGAGCTTTCTTCCATCAATACGACGTGTCCGTGCAAAGTTTGATCGTTTTATTGATCGTGAAAGTCCGATTACCAAGTATGAATGGAAAATTGTGAGAAATATATCTGGTGAAGAAGTCACAGCTTTTGTCAATGTACCTGTCACCCAAACGACACCCCTCATTGATGGCCTTTCTCTTGAGGCGGGCTCTCCTTATAGGATTACCCTTCGTGGAACTAACGCCGTCGGTCTTCAAGCGGTCATCGAGACAAATGGATTTATACCTGATAATACACCACCGTATTGTGAAGGACGCGTGATTGACGTCTCTGATGAAAAGGACACGTCAGACGTAGATTTCGTGAGAGAATTAAAAAGTATCCAAGCAAAATGGAAATGTTCAGATCGTGAAAGTACCATTCGTTCACAGCTTGTAGGTGTCGGGACTTACCCTGGTGGAGATGACATTCGAGCCTTTGAAAAACTCGACCATCTGCCACAAACCACAATGGATGGTGTTTTTTATGTTCAACTTCCTGACATTAACATTTTCGTAAAGTTTCGATACCATGTTACCATAAAGATCATTAATGGAGCGGGTCTGAAGAAAACTATCTCCTCGGATGGCATTTTAATTGATATGACACCACCAACGGTTGCACCACTATACATCAAAGATGGACAAGGAGAAATGGACAAGAACTATACTAATGACCGCTTTTCTTATAGTGCGCACTGGGAGCAAGCTTTTTCTGATGCAGAAAGTGGGCTGGTGGAATATCGTGTGGGGCTTGGTACTAAATCTGGACTTGCTGACATTAAAGCTTTCAGTTCGGTGGGCTCGGAGACTAATGAGACAATAACAGGAATCCTCCTCGAAAGTGGTCGGCGTTACTTCGTGACTGTGATTGGTTGTAACAGAGTGGGTATGTGTATCAACGCAAGCAGCGATGGTGCTATTGTAGACTTTGTCCCTCCGCATTCTGGAAAAGTTTTCACCGGATTGGCAGGTCCACCAATCTTGTACCAGTGGATAACTACGTCAGTATGGGCAAGATGGAATTGGTGTTTGGCGGATGAGAAGAGAGCATCTGCAGTTTTAAAGAACAATAATCAGTGTGGCAACGACAGCTTTTTTGATGTTCACAGTGGAATTGGTATGTTTAGTATTTCTGTGGTAACGCAAACTACTGAGCAGCTTCTCGCGCCATTCAAGTTAGCTGGACGCCAAAGATACGCTGGCCGTAACATTAATCTTAAAGATGGGGTCTACTCGGTTGCTATTGAAGCCAGCGACAAAGCAGGTGTTGCTTCCCGTGGTCTGTCAAACACGTTTATTGTTGATAGCAGTCCTCCTTTAATAACTCTGGTGCAGCATGGCCATTTTGGCGAAACGTTGGAATATGTAAACGTTTCTGTCGTAACATTTCGATCTTACTTTATGGTTGAAGACGAACTTTCCCGGGTGAAAGCTTACAAAATTGGCGTTGGAAGTTATTCCGGCGGTGATGACATCATTAAATTCCAGTCCTTCTCTTTACGTTTTCCGACATCATCATTGCGAGCTAACTGGACATCGCTGACACCAACATTTCTGGAAAACAACAGGCGTTATTTCATCACCGTATTAGCTTTAAACAGCGCTGGCCTCCCCACTGTTAAATCTTCCCCCGCTCTGGTCTCTGATTTTGACGTACCTCAAGATGGGATAGTATTAGATGGCTGGGACTTACAGGATGCCAGGTATCAGAGCTTTGCCTCCGTCTACCGTGCGCACTGGCATGGTTTTACTGATTTCTCAGGAATCGACAAAGTGTACCTTGGGTTGTCTAGCAAATCGAGGTCGACTTTCTGTGATGCGAGGAAAGAGGTAATCGTTTCAAGTGACACAAACTTCTATGTTTTATCCGGACTAGCGTTAATCTCGGGACAGACGTACTACGCATGTCTTAAGTTAGAGGATAGAGCTGGGAATTCCAAATTCTTTCATTCCAATGGTGTGCTGGTAGACACAACCCCTCCTCATCCAGGTTATGTTTCTAATGGAAGACCAGGGCAGGAGATAGGCACACAAATGGAGAGCTCCGTTCTTACAGCTTCATGGGGTAACTTTACGGAACATGAAACAAGCATCGTGTCATATCATCTGGCGTTTGGTTCTTTCCCAGGTGGCCAAGACGTGCAAGGATTCACAAACGTGGGGATGGTAAACACCGCCACAAGCTCTAGACTGAAAGTTTCGGAGCTGAAGTCTGGTCAAGTTTACTATACATCAGTGATTGCCTACAACATACTCGGGATGCCCAGCTTTATGGCTACATCCGATGGCGTATTGGTAGATTTCAGTCCTCCGTTTTTTTCACAACCAGGTCGTGATGGTGATGATCCCGATAATGAGTTAAGCTATACATTTGAAAATTCCCTGAAAGCAACATGGAAGTGCGAGGATCCAGAGAGCGGCCTCTCCGCCATTGCTATCGCTTTTGGTCTACAGCCAGGTGATGCAGACATTGTAAATTTCACCAGCCTACCAGTGTCCCAAACCTCTTTTATAACCAATCGAAAGCTTCGTTTGGGTGCTCGCTACTTTAGTACTGTTCGATGCACTAACAAAGCTGGCCTTACAACAGCCTCTTATTCCGATGGAATCGTATACGACGATACGCCCCCTAATCCAACTTATGTTCGGGATGGTGACTATCAGACTGCAAATAGGACTTTGTTTGTTATTTTTAAGTTTGTTGATGCTGAAAGTGGCATTCAGGTATACAGACTTAAAGTATGGGGAAGGAGTTCCCACAACACCTCGCTGGATATGCATGATTCCTTCAGGGTTCGTGGGAATGTTACTAGTTTAACTTTGGAGCTATCAAAAGAACTTGCAAGCGGAAAAACGTATTATGTCAACGTAACAGCAGTGAACAGCATCGGCCTAGAAGCTACCATACAATCAGATGGATTTGCTGTTGATACTACTCCTCCAATATGCTCCCAGGTCTGGGATGGCAAAAGTAACTATCCAAATGACATTGAATATGCTCCGAGCTCAAACAGATTCATTATTTCTTGGGTTTGCTATGACAACGAATCTCCAATAGTTCGGTATCAGTTTTCGGTCAGAGATATGCAAACAAAGGAGCACGCCATTCCGTTTTACACTTTGAAGACGCGTGTGAACCCAACTGGATCCGCAGTAATTACAGGCGGAGGTCGAATGACAGCACGCTTTATTGAAGGACACACTTACCAATCTGGAATTGAGGTTGCGAACGCTGTTGGCTTGAAGTCAATTAAATGGACAGATGGTGTTACAATTGATAATACACCTCCTGAAGTGAGTAATCTAAAGCTTGCATTTGATCCAGAGAGGGATCTCTTAAAAGTTGAATGGTCAGTAAGCGACAGAGAAAGTGGCGTGAAGTCAGTGTCCTGGGGACTTGGAACAATTCCAGGAACGAATGACGTCAAGAACTTTTCCGACGTTTCGCCATCAGTAACTAACATATCAATATCAAGCGTTTCGTTCCAGCAGGGCAGTACGTGTTTTTTAAATATTTTTGCGGTTAATAAAGGTGGCCTGTCTAGCAAATCCTCCTCAAATACCATTATCATTGATCGCTCAGCGCCAAGCCCTGGGATTGTAGCTGCCCATCATGTATTCCCACGCAGTTATGATCAAAGCAGCAATAAGCTGTCCAATTCCTCTTTTGTTGTCACTTGGACAGGATTTACAGATACTGAAAGTGGTATCAAGAAGACCAGCTGGGCAATTGGAACAGACTGCCAAAAACTGAAACAAGATGGCGACAATTTATACACTGAAGTAGTAGCTGATGACTCTGTTGGCGGAGTTATCATCGAGAATCAAACCCTTATGGAAAACGAAACTTATTTTGTTTCTGTTCGAGTTACGAATGGTGCTGGGCTTCACAGAACAGATTGCTCGCCAGGAATGCTTGTAATATTAGGAAAACTATCTGCTGGTGTTGTAAGCGACGGACCGTTCTCGTCAGAAAATGACATTGACTTCCAGCTCGATGATAGAGCTATTTGGGCACACTGGCGTGGTTTTAAGGATCCTGCATTTAGTATCTCAAGATACGATTGGTGCATTAGAGATCTGCCACCCAATGCATCTGGATTAGAGGCATGCGCATGGCCATTCATAGAAGTGCACCATTTAAAAACCAAAGCTAGTCGCCTTCATAACCTGACTCTTTTGCATGGAAAGAAATATTACGTGACAGTAAAGGCTGAAAACGTTAGGGGTGATACTGTAATGTCATCCTCGGATGGTGTAATTATAGACCGAACACCTCCAGTTGCAAAATCAATCCAGATCTCGCCATCATCGGGTGAAGAAACTTTGTTCTTAACATCACCGTCTGCTCCTGTAGTTACCTGGTCAATTGATGATCCCGAAAGCGGAATAAGCCACTTCATCGTTCACGTCGGCAGCTTTCCATTTGAAAGTGACCTGTTAGCCAGTCAACGCCTCGAGAGTCTAAGCCGTTCCCTTGATTTAGGCCAGGTAAATTTCACGCTGTATCAAGGCTTAATTTTCTACGTGACCGTTAATGGCGTCAACATGGTAGGTCTGGAAACCGTTCTAACATCAAAGCAAGTAGTAGTGGACTGGACGCCCCCTGAAGCAGGGGAAATTTTGGATGGTAATCGGACAATGCCAATGACGGGGGTGTTTATCGACAGTGATTACCAAAAAGATAGCGGGATGTTGTTTGCGCACTGGAGTGGGTTTGAAGATTCTGAAAGCGATGTTATAGAATATCAGTGGTGTGTTGGAATAGCTCAAGGTAACTATGACTTCTCTTTGGTGCACCTCTTTTTTTAAGTCCTGGTCATCCCAAAGTTATGCTTGGACGAGCCATTCCATTTACAACGTACCGATGCAGCTGTTTATGTTTGACTTCTTTGTTAGGAGTTGGAGTATATACATAGAATATTTAAGTTTTGTGTTATTTTTCAGGAACCTGTGAAGTAAAAAACATGACATCTGTTGACCTTCGAACAAGCGCTTATCACTGGGTTAATCTTCAAGAAGGCTTACAGTATTTTTTTACAGTCGAGGCAACCAATGGTGCTGGTCTTAAAGATGCAATCTACTCTGATGGTATAACCGTCGACATCTCGCCACCTACAATGGTTGGGGTTTACCACAGTGTTGAAAATGAAGAAGATAGCGTGCCCCAGTTCATCATTCAAAATGATGGTAGATATTTAGAATTCTATTGGAATAAGCCCTATGACACGGAAAGCAGAATTTGGTCCGTTAAATGGTGCGCGGGAACAAAGAACAACTCCTGTGATATCGTCTCGCTGACCTCAGTTGATCCGGAAGATACTTCGGTAAAGCATTACATGTCTCCGCCGCTAGCCTCTGGTACTGTAGTGTATGTGATGCTTGTTGTGACAAATGGTGCTGGAATTACTTCCACGGTCGTCGCCCGACCGCTTTTAATTGATACCACCCCTCCGTCAGTTGGAAATGTGACCTTAAGAAAAACTGCAGAAACCACCTATTTTAAAAAAAGAGATTCAATTACAGCTAAATGGAGTGGGTTTGTGGATAACGAGAGTCGTTTAAGCCATTTTGAATGGGCCATTTGTCAAACGAGCGAAACAGACAAATGTATTAATGAATATGTGAACGTTGGCCTTAATACTTCTACAAATATTGACGCTTTTGGTATCAAGTATGGCATATCGTATGTCATAATTGTCCGTGCGTTTAATAAGGTTGGCTTATTCAGTGAAGCTACTTCCTACCAGTTTATGCTGGATGGAGCTAACCCATCTCCGGGGACTGTGTACGATGGATTGGAGCGACAGACAGATAGAGAATTTCAAAGCTCTACTACTCGACTCTCAGCCAACTGGTCCCCGTTCCAATGTGCTAATAGCCGCATTGTTGACTACGAGATGTGTGCAGGAACAGAAGCAGGGACATGTGATGTGAGTGGATTTGTAAGTCTTGGCATGGACTTTAAAGGGTCCATAACAGGATTAAGCTTAAAGCACAATGAAAGGTACTTTGTTACCGTACGTGCAACGAGTGAGTCCGGTTACAGCACAACGGCAACCTCTAATGGTGTCAGAGTTGACAGTACGTCACCTTTAGGAGGAAAGGTAAGAGATGGTCAGACACTCCTGGACATTGATTACCAAGCAGCTGACACGGTCATTTCTGCCAACTGGGATGAGTTCCAGGATGAAGAATCAGATGTTAGAGGCTATACTTGGTGTGCTGGCACAGGAAAGGGTATCTGCGATATCATATCCGAAACCAGCGTTGGCGATCGCACCAGTGCCAGTCAACAGATTCTGCCACCACTACCTGGAGGAATATCAATATTTGTTACTGTCAGCACCTGGAACAACGCAGGCCAATATACAACAGTATCCTCGGACGGATTTAGAGTTGACGACACTCCACCGATTCTCTCAAAGGTGAGCCCACTGTAGTCCACTTCCTTTTCACATCGCTATCTTTATATTTCTTTCGGCACGTTTAGGATCCAGTTTAACCCTTTGATACTCAAAAAGTTTTGTTACCCTTTTTAAACAAAAAGCGGCTTAGTTGCGTATGAATGATGTAGTAGACAAACGTCCTTTAGACAACTTGCTCAAACTTTCTTCAAATAGATCACCGCACTACCCTGGGTTTGCACTGCAATTTTTACTAAAATATGATGTACTTAACATTACATGTATATTGAATTTGTTTTCTACGATTTGGGGTGCATAAGAAATTAAATATAGAATCGAGCAAAACGTTTCGGAGTTGCAACAATTGCTTTAATATACGCTAATGTTGTGTAAATAGAAACGTTTCTTTCATTTGATTAAATTATATATACGCTTTATTCGGATAGGTTCTGGACTTGCAGGTTGGCCTAGGTGATAAAAAGATTGAATACCTCACAGCTAAAGACAGGTACTGTGTTAGTTGGGATAGCATAGATTCTGAGAGTGGTGTGCTCAAAAGCGAGGTCTCCGTCTGCTCTGAAACGGACACTCGTGAATGTGTACTGTATAATTTAGACGTAGGAAACCAAACATTTATCTGTGTGGCTGACCTGGAATTCAAAGAAGGACTAAGGTATGTGACGAAAATTCGGGTGGAAAACAACGTTGGCCTGTTCGCAGAACTCTATTCAGATGGCTTCGTGCTTGACTCAACGCCTCCCTTCATGGGTGAGATAAATTTCCTTGAGAGCACAAACCCAATCGTGAAGGAGGCTGCAGAGCATTTCACACAGTCCCAAATTGCAGTTCAGTGGAATGGCTTCTGGGACAAAGAGAGCAGTGTTCGTACTTCCTACGTTTGTGTTGGAACACAGCCAGGAGATTGTAACATCAAGAACTTTACTGACATGAGTAACTCCACTACTTTCACTTTCCAAGATTTACCGCTCATTCAAGGAGAAACGTACTTTGTTTCTGTTAAGGCGGAAAACGGAGCAGGCTTAGCAAGTGAAGTGAAAACGTCTGACGGGATTGTTGTCGACAAGACAGGTACAAATCGATATTCGTGATTCTTTTTTTATTGGGCAGCTACTAAATGTATTCCAGTCCATTTCCACTGCACCGAGGTGTTGTTACTGCTTGGAAAAAATAAGTAACCATGTTAAATATACTCTTGCTTGGACTACCTCATTAAGAGATCCGAGGACGGGTAAATTAACGATGCTTCCTTTTCAGGTTGTGATATGTACTGCTGGCATTGAGTTAAATAGTTTAAGATTAAGGTGACTTTATTTGACCAATCATGCATACAAACACTGAGATAATAGAAACAGAGTCCGTTTAAAGTGAACTTCCGGTGGAGTATATTACCGGATCATCTTAGACGAAGATCATTGAGGGCCAAGATGTCGTCCCTGGTCAATATTGAACTTTATTTGCCCTCCGGTGAAGAGATTTTTAGGTCTTAGAACTACGTTTACATTAAGTTTGTTTTCCATATTTTTAGGACCTACCAATGGTGGTACAATAATAGATGGAAATAAAGAAGGCGAGGACATTGATGTTCAACAGAGCAGAACCCTCATTACAGCTTACTGGAGTGCCTTTGAAGACCTTGAAAGTGGAGTCATTAAAGTCACTTGGTGTGCGGGTTTGTCTTTAGGCACTTGTGATCTCGTGAATGAAACGCAAATTGATCATAATGGCACCTTTGTCCGTTATGTGCTTAACAAGGCGATCGCAAATGGCCAGCGCCATTATGTCACGGTCAAAGCAACCAACGGAGCAGGTGTAACAACATCACTAACGTCAGATGGAGTGATAGTCGATGAAAGCCCTCCCATTTCCGGTAGTGTGATAGATGGAATGGTGTCAGATGTAGATTATGTGAATAGTGAAGATGATATCACTGCACGTTGGTTAGATTTTCTGGACTTGGAATCTGGTATCGAGTCTTACGAAGTCGCTTTATGTGATGCTAGAAACCTGTCTTCCTGTCCTCAAACCTTCACTGCAGTGGGACAAGTCACTAATGTGACAATAACAGGTGAGATTAAACTGATGACGAGTAACCGGCTTTGATTTAACCTTCAGCGTGATTGCCAAATCATCCTCTATTCAGCTTTGTGACTGTTATTGTGCACATTTTTCTGCTCAAATTTGAAATGCAAGTCGTAGTTAAACGTACTTCCAATAAAAAAGACTTTGTTTCCCGCAGGTTTGGATCTTGAGAGTGGCGAGCAATACAGGTTTATCGTAAGGGCCAAAAACTACGCCGGTATTACAGTGGAAGCATTCTCTGATGGATTCACGGTCGATTTTACTCCTCCGACGGAAGGCAAAGTATGGATTGGTGCTAGAAACATGCACGTCAGCTATCAGTCAGATTCTGCCAAAGTGGTCGTAAGGTAACATAATATGTGTGATAGTGATTTGAATGAATGGAGCACAATTCAGCAAGGAATCGGTAATAGTTTCAGAACCGATCACCAGCACGTTTAGTCCCTTAATCAAAAACCATTGCAATTTCCTCGAACGGAATTGTCATATAAACTGCTGTATTTTGCTCTAATTAGCATAAGTAATCGTATGAATGCGAGTGTAGTTAATAGCGTCCGTGTGTAAGTATGGAGAATCCCCGACAGAATACTGTTTTCAAAGTTTTGTGATATCTAGAAAAGGTCAAAATAGATGACACTTTCTAGACCAGCGCGCGGATCCTACAGCCCACATAACACGTTTCGTAATTTACTAACCAATAAAAACAGATAGGGAGTACACGAGACTACCTGAAAACACAAACGAGCGAAGGGAAATAGCAATGTCAATTCATGATCACATAGCAGAACATTATCAACCTACAAACCACAGCATTGACTCAGACTCTGATCAAAGATTAACCTAAACTTAAAACTTTGTTCAACGACTGACTCCAGGAAGTGGGTACACAAACTTGGCATAAACGCCTCCCACTAGATGTCAGCAACTATCGACTTATTCCCAACCTAAACGGACGATCAGACCTCAAATAGAATGACTTAACTGACTATCAATACGCAGATCGAAATTTACAAGGACTGAACAGTCACTGCGGACAAACTTTACACGAGTCTTACCGCCAAATACATCACGGTTACACTAACATCAGATCAGATTTAGAAAACGTTTGGCTGATGAGCACTTTTCACTTCACTCTGATGATAACTCCTGCTCCAGTTCTACTTGTCTATAAATTAGCTTGAATTGTTTGTTATTTTTTCAACCCTGGGAGAGCAATAAAGTGATCATCTAAAAGAAGTTGCTTCTACTAGTTAAAACAATTATATTTAATTATATTTACTCATTAATTCTTGCAGTTGGACTCCTTTCATGGACTTCGAGAGTGGCATCGTTAAATATGAAATTTGTCTGACTTCTGCTCTCCAAAACTGTACTGTCACCACCTTCGTTGACGTACAATTGAACAGAAGCTACACAATCGATGGCCTTAACCTTACGCATGACAAAACTTACTACGCTATCGTTCGTGGTACAAATAGAATTGGACAGTCAACGGAGATGACAAGTGATGGAGTATTGATCGATTTGACCCTACCGACTCCAAAGAATGATGACTATTTGTCTTCTTTGACACGTTCAAATTCAACCCTAACAAATGTAAATGTTTCCATCTCAAATCTCAAATCATTAAAAGAGAATCAAACTAGCTCTCCCATCACTTTCATTTGCTCCGAAGAATACTTAACATCCCGTTGGGAAGAATATGAAGACCAAGAGAGTGGAATGGTGAAGTATGACTGGTGTGTTGGAACAGCAAAGGCTTCCTGTGACGTGGTGTCTGTGAGGTCGGTGGGAATGAGAACGCGAGGCGCAGCTATTGTCAACAGACTTCGCCTAGGAACAAAACTATTTTCCACCGTGTATGCCGAGAACGGAGCGAAACTAAGAAGGCGAATAGTATCAGATCCATGCACAATAATTACTATAGCACCGAAGCTGGCCGAAGTGATTGACATTTCAAGCTTTAACACAAGCAATTTCACAGATATCGACTGGAAGGCCAATTTGCAAAGTTTGACACTGAGGTGGAACGTTATTGGCAGTTATCTTGACGAAATTTCACGCCTGCGTGTTCAGGTAGCAGTCACGAAACTCTCCTCTAATCTTTCTGTACCACGAATTCTTCAGGATACGTCTTGGAATGGAGAGTCTCTTGAGCAACCCTTCATGGACGTGTTGCCGTGGCAACGCAACGTAACAATAAGAAGAACCTTTCATCCGTGGGAACGTTACCGTGGCATTGTGAGGGTGTGGAACAAGGGAGGAATCTACTCCGAGGCCTGCAGCGATGGGTTAAAAATGGAACCGAGTCCTCCACCAACCCGTGGTCTTGCAATCCGCGACAAAGCCGCTGAAAATGAACACTTACGCTGGTTACCAAACCTGAGGATTCCACCAGTCAGCGAGAGTACAGTAGATACCGATGTGACCTTCATCTCTTCTCCAGCGGAGTTAGAACTCACCGTTAACAGTGATGCCTCAAACCAAACATTTGACAGAACAAAGTTTTTACTCGAACACAATATGTTTAGCCCAACTGCCGAATTTAAAATAATCGTTAAAAGAGTGACAAGTGGAAATAATGACACAAACATGACATCCCAGTCCACAACAATGAAGGCAATCCCTGGTTTTGCGGACGCGGAAGGTGCGTGCTGTGCAAGAACGCCTAACAATGCACTATCTGCCTTAAGTGACACACACTTCAAGTCAACTTTACCAATCGAAGACTATGGAGTTTCCGTTGCGGTTTTGCAAAATGACGTTGTAGCTATTGGATGTAAAGGTAAAGTGGTTCTACAGCCTCTGAAGAATCAAACTGCAAGTTACTCTATTGTGCTTGATGACCACTCTGATCCTAATGCAAGTGTAAAGATATCTTCCAGTGAAAACAGAACAGGCTTTCTATTGAATGGTAAACTCTATCTCTATAACCTTACTGCTGGTGAGCCTGGTGAAAGCATATTAAGCGAGGCCATCGTGGTTGGAAAATGTAAAAGCGTTTCAGCGTCAGACTGCTCTGATGATGAAGCATGGGCAGATAACCTTGGACAAGCATTTGCCCTCAGTCAGAACGTAATTGCAGTGACTGGAACGAATTTAACCTCCAACAACAGCGTTGTTGCCGTTTTTCGAGAGGATTCTGGAAAATGGAAGTTTACTCAGGTAATTGGCGAGGATTTGAACGATCCAAACTTTGGACACTCAATATCTTTGAACGACCGTACTCTGGCGATTTCGGCTGGACATGGGAAAAACTGCTGCGTGTTTATATACTCACTACCGGCCCTTGTAGTCCGTAAAACAATATGTCTAGCCGACTCTGTAAACCAAATGGCACCTCTGTCTTTACACCTTACTGACACGGACGCTCTTGTGGTATTGTCCGAGACATCTCGATTACTAAAAGTGTTTCAGATTAACATCTCTTCAAATTCTTATCATGATGTGTGTGAGTACAAGGCTGGGAGAGATATTGATGAACTGAGTGGGAATCTTGATGTAAACACTCGAGGGGAAGGATTTATTGTTGCCCTCGGAATTGAAGCATTAAATGGTGGTGAAGGAGTCCAACTGCTTGGCTTCCAAGGAATTTACTCTAAAGATCCCGACGTGAGGAAAGAAATTACTGAATGTGTCAATCTAGGATCAGTACTTGCCAGAGGAAGCGCGTTACGAGTTGATGGCATGGAGACTCGAACATCTGTGTCCTTCAAAGGAAACACTATCTTATTCGGGATACCTGACGTCCTTACGTGGCCTAACACTCGTCAATGGTCAAGCACCGGAAGAGTTTTTATGGCAACATACTGTCCACCAAACCACTTCCGTACCAGAGTTTATAACGTCCGGAGCTTACGTCCCATATCTTGTCAACCTTGTGAGGAAGGAAGGAAATCATTTGGAGGCTTTTCGGAAACTTGTTCAGTTTGCGAGGGGAGGATTTGCTTCTCGCCTCAAATTAATGAGTCCTCCAGTTTCAAGTCAGGTATCTGCGATGACACATCTTGTGTTTCGACCTTACATTTGAGCAACACAACAAATGGAATCAATGTTCAGTTATCAAATGGATCGTTGTTCGTCGCTGGATCCGAGCACGTCTACACTGTCGAACTACTCGAAACCACCCGAGCTGGTAAATCAACGAGCTCGTTATCAGGATCATTTGTGATCGACTCGACAGCTCCCGTGCCTGGAGTGATATACGATGGACTTGGCAGTGACCAAAACGTGAATTGCTCCGATAACTCAACATTTGGGGAAAACAGCCAGTGTTCTACTCGTAATTTTGAGGCCACGGATGTGAAGTTTACGAATAACACGCGAGAGGTCCATGCCAGGTGGATTGATTTTCTGGATAATGAGAGCGACATTGTAGAGTATTTCTGGTGTGTGGGCAGGAAGCCAATGACAGACGACATTCGGGTATGCGAGAGCACAGGTATGAGGCCAAATGGAAGTCACTATGGACTTAGTTTGAAACATGGAGATTCCTATTACATCACAGTTATTGCCTGCAATGGAGCCCGAATGTGTTCAGCTGCTCACAGTGATGGTGTTATCATAGATACTACACCGCCTGTCATGACATATGTGAGAGATGGAGTCATGGGACCAGACATGGACTATCAGGTATAAAAGCGTGGGTAGTCCTGTGCCTCAAGCAGCATTTAGATGTGGAATTTCTTCTGCACGTAACTATTTTTAGAAAAAAAACCCTTTAAGTTTCGAGGAAAGTTATGTTTCGACAACCTCTACTAAGTTTACTCTCCGTCTACATAGGTCATAATTCATATCGTACGTTGTATCTTTTTCTCCTAACTGCCGAAGCCAGTGGAGGTTGTTGAAACATGTTCCTCGAAACTTAAGTGTTAAGACGGACTAAATGAATACTGTACTTTTCCTCTCCGTTCCCCTTTTACGAGGTACGCAAGATCTCTACGGACGCGTGCACGATCAACCCTGATCATAAATTCAATTACATGCCGTACCATAAAGATTCATCTCTCGTTTTTGACAGGTGTTTGTTGACATTATTTTTGCCTACTTTTCTGGGAGCGATCCAGACAGTGGTGTGACGTCATATGAGGTGGCGTGGGGAAGTGGACCTGGTCTGGTCGACGTATCAGACTTTGAAGAGGTTATCAATACGACTATATGGCGTGCTAAGGTAAAGGAAGGGGCACTAGAAAAAGGAAAAAAATACTTCGCAACCGTACGAGCAATAAATGGGGCTGGTTTACTGTCGGATTGGCTATCCTCCGACGGAATTGTTGTCGGGAAGTCCGAGTATGTCTTTGACAATTCATCAAAAGCGTCGTTTTTCTTCGATACTGTTAACGTGAACGACAATGGAACACGCAAGGATGGAGGCGTTGGGCAGACGTACGGAACACTGGATGTCCCTAAAGGAGCTGTTGAGGATGAAGTGAAATTGCGATGTTATAGCTTGGATGAAAAAGCGTTAGACGAAAACAAAACCGAGGAGGGTCCTGTCAGTAATCCTTCCAAGACAAAACCAAAGGTTCGTTTGACACCCTTTTTCACTAGGACGTTTATATTTTACATTAAGGCAAACCGAGTTTAAGGGGCAACGAAAATGGTACATTTTGCCCGTGTGAGGATGATCTTGTTTTTTATTTCGTTTAAACGAATTGTTTACGATGATCCACGTGGAATTTCTTCTCCCACATCAACACAAAGTCAAGTTGCAGGTTATGAGAACAAACCAACTGATCTGACAAAGTAACACTTAAGAAAGAGCAATTGTTCCAACGATTAGTTGGACAAACGTATTATGTACCAGTAGGAAGAATATGTATATTGATATTAATCAGTTTTCCCTCGGTCTCACTTCTCTTCATTCATCATTGGTTCTCGAGCCTAAAGTTTTGATGTTATATCGAGGTTTCCTTTGACTTGAAGGCATAATAATTCGCAATCTGCGCACCAATTTATCGTTCTCCTATAAGCAGATTCAAGAACATCACATATTGAATTTCGTAACGGTGGGCATGGTTTCCAATCTCGACCCAATAAAACGAATGCAAGTGATCTTGCCCAGGGAAAAAACAAACGGAATTTTAAATTTTCTGTTACTTTTTTTATCAATCACAAGGCAGCAAATTGCACCTTTTTTCGGCTTCAGAGGCTCATTGTTACTGTTTCCCCATACAACCTGTAAATTGTACCTTTAATGAAGGTATTTTACTTTTACAACCCAACAGCAATTCATGCTTGGTAACTACAGTTTTGTCATCAAGGCCTTGGATCCTCAGACCAACACTGTACAAGAGGGATTTAAGTTTGTTAAGCCAATCAAACTCTCTATGTTCTATGACGTCAATAACTTGATTGAAGCGAACAAAGAGCACGTCAGTAAAGAAGTTACCAAGGAAGACATAGACCCTGTGCTGTATTTGTGGGATCCGGATAACGAGACTTGGTAAATATCTTTTTTTCCTGCTGCTTTGAACTGAGCGCTATAATCGAAGCTTCTACAAGCTGAAATTTCACACAATTTTGCGTTAACACAAACCGCGCCATTCGTTATAAAATTTTGAGGCGCTGTCGTTGCTGTGTATGCTACTCGGTTTAATCCAGAATTCGATTGAGAACTAAGGGGCGAAAGCTGCTGGTTTTTACCTCCAAGTTAGCTAAGTATGGGCGACAAAGCGACCTACTCATATCGGTTTCGGAACTTTAGAGCTTGACGCGTTGCAAAGAAGAAGAAAAAGGAGAAATTGGCATCAAAAGCCATACAATCCAAAAACCAGCAAAATTTTTCTCAGTGTTATGTAAGCTCAGTACAAGTTGATTCATCGTTTCTTCTTTCATTCTAGGTTTGACGCAGCCCTGACTTGTCCAGAGCCTTGGAGTCACGTGAACCGCTCGATGAAACTTCTGGAAGTGCATGTTTGTCACCTGACTCAATTTTCATTTTTCTTCTCCTTCTATGCAAAGAATGGCTTGATTCTGTTTGACAAGAGTCACTCGAGTAGGTTCTAAGTAATATAAAAGATTTTGACTATCATTTACGTTGTTAACTGAAAAAAAAGATTTATTGGTCGTGTAAGTATGTTGACTCAACCTGGATTCGAAAACTTTTAGCATTTTTTATAACTAGGTGTACAAAGCATAAACTTGCCACAAGTCGACCTTTTCTTAATCCTTGACTTATTTATCTCCCTCGGGTGAAGCGGTAATGCGACGAAGTCGCGAGGGCGGGCGCGAGCCACGTAAGTCGCGAGAGGCCGACTTGTTTCACTTGCAGGAATGTGAATCAGAGCGTAAATTTTTGGCGCGAAATACATGATTGACATTTCTCACTTTTCATGTGCTCCGCGCGCGATCGTCGCGAAAGCAGAAAATGATTTCCATCAAAACGTTTACGAGTACTGTTCCCTGACTCAAATGAGTTTATTTGTGTACAGTGCAGTATGTAGCCAGCAGACAAACGGCAAAAGCTGTTCCATTGATTAACGCCTCCTGAAAAGACAAAACCGTGTTTAAACCGATCTGGAATTATTTTAGTCGACCAGAGAGCTCCCAAACAAATGCTATGAACTTATGTAGATCTAGCTTGTACCGACAAGAATCCGAATTAACTAAAGAAGACGGAATTAGTCGGGGAGAACTTTTATTCTGTAAAGCTCTCTTAATTAAATAACATTGAGAATCGAAGTCGCAACGAACGGCAGAGAATAAAAGCGCTGTTCCCAAAAGTCCTTCATCGATCGACGAGTGCTTTCAACACGGTAAAGTCGTTAAAACGGCCGATGCAAATTTGCTGCGATGCCCTTGCTTTGTAGAGAAGAAACTTGGTCATTCGCAAACCGCAAGAACGGCCCTGTTCTTCTTGGAGAGGTCCAAACTTAATCGGATCACGCAGGAGCTCAGATCGCGTCCGTAAGTAAACAAACACGTATTGGGCGGATAGATAGCCTTCCACTGCTTTTCCCTGTCCTTCTTTCAAAGACTCGAAATAAGTTGGATAGCCCATATTCAATTGCTTCCATAAAATTCATATCAGTAAGTATATCCGAGAACAAAAGCTAAACGAAAAATATTTTTATAGTACTTGAACTCAGCAGACACTAATTTTGCTCTGCGAGTTGTGTCGTTGATCGCGCGCGATGTCATGACGTATAGTTAGTACTTGTTTGTTCATTGACTAATGTGTATTTACGTCACCGGTGGAAAAATCCACCGGTAAAATTTGGCGCGCTGCCGGTGGGAAAAGTCCTTTCCAACGGCGAAACCAACAGCCCAGGGAAGAATTATTGGAAAGGACTTTTAGAAAGTCTATACAAAGCATTGCGTCAATTCCATCTATAACTTTGAATTTTTCCACTTTAATTTTTTCTTGGAAAGTCATCGGGCATCTCTGCGTTTCCTAATCTTCTATTAAAAGTGCCTCCCTTTATTCCCCTGTTCCCTGGAAGCAAATTCCTTGCATTACTATCTAAATTTTAACACTGTTTCACCACGAAATACAACAAATTAAGATACAAAACTATAATATAAGGAAGTCATGAACAATTATGAGAAGAAAATCATTCCTTGGAAAAAAAATTAAATAATGGTGTTTTCTGACAGCATTAACATTATATTTCTGTTTCTGTGTAGTTTACAGTTCGAATGGGCACATTGAGGTCTTTCGCAGAATGAAAGTTACCACACTGGAGATCCCCGTTCTGAGATCTAAAGGTTCTGTAGGTGATATCACCGTGGAATGGTCCCTGTACCAAAATGACTCCTCTGATACCCTGGAATTTATATGGCCAGCATCTGGAAACGTATCCATGACAGATGGTCAGTGGAATAGCTCTTTCATTTTGAATGTGGGCAATGACAGAAGACAGGCGCCGGCAAGTGTGGTCTGGATTCAACTGGAAAATCCCACGGGTGGGGCTTTACTAGCGTCTGATGACAAAACCACCTTAAAGATCTTGATTGCGTCCAATCTGAGAGCAGATCAAAGCACGTGGATTATAACTACAATTAGCGCGTGCGCAGCTTCAGTAATAGTACTTTTTGCAGCCTCCTGTGGCATCAACAGATATAAAAAGTCAACTAAAAAGTATGTGTTTTTATGTTTTTCGTGTTAGGGTCGTGAACCATATTAACCACTACGTCGAGTATTGTTCCTGCATACCTGCATACAGATAGTTTAATGTTACCTACGAGAATCTGGTGGTAGATAAAAATAGGTCGTTGTTGAGGATTTTTTCTCTTGTTTCAGTAAAAAAATCTTTGAAGCTATATTCAGCTATTGACATTTAAGGACGGGTGCAAAAAACGTTCATAAACACGTAGGCTGATACCGTCAACCTAAAAAGAAAACTTGGGAGAAGCATTGGTTGATACAACTATTTCTGGCAATATCACAATAATTGACTAAAATTCCGGTGGCGTTCTAATTGTACCCTTCACATAATTCGAGGGGTAGACTTCCGATTGTTATTGAAGCCTATCGTCACTGTGTTGGATAGGTAAACCAAAAAGGTATTAAAAAAAGTCAGAATAGGGATCATCATGTCTTACGTTATGCTTAGGGTTGCCGTTCGTGCATTTATTCCTCCCAATGTAGCACAGACTTTGAGTCAAGTATAGTTCAGTCCTACATAGGTACTATCGAATTCTAAGTAAATTAAACGGATTTTTTACTTGGTCTGCATGGAGTAAAACTTTAGCACCTTCTTGTTTCATTACCCTCGAATGATAAATGAAAGAATTAAAGATTGATTGAATACCTTTAATTGAGTATCAAGACCAATATAGCAGTGCACATGATTGGTCTTGTGACAGAAAACATGACATAAATAGCATTAACGTCACTGAAATGAGTTAGATAAACAGCGCTCTCTTGTACTGTTTTCAGAACAGCCACAAAGCGTCGACGTCAGGAAACCGAGATACCTCACTGTAAGTATAAGTTCTCCGGGCTTTTTTTTGTTATTTTTTAACGCTATTCAATTGCTGGTATTCACTTCGAGTCATGACTGATAGGATCTTTGATCTTTGATTTCCGCTTTTATTCATTATTTTCATTTTCGTCCCATGACTCCACGAGTGCCCGTTTTCATCGACTCAGGAAGACAATTTCTCTCGGTGATTTGAGGAATTTTCAGTTACGCAGTAATGTATACAGTGAAACCTCTATTAAGCGGACCCCCGTTAAAGGAATATCCTTTATATTTATTTATTTGTTTGTTTGCTTGTTTGTTTATTTATTTATTTTATCTTATTTATTCATAATTTGCTTTGAAAGCCCGTGATAAGTGATAAGTCCATACACTTGAAAGGACATATAACAAACAACATAAACTTGAACTCAAGATAGGTTAGCTAACAATCTGAACGTTTATTACAAAAGAACCATTAAATGTTGATAAAACAGTGGGACATAGTTTAAAGCGAGTAATAACGTACATAGCAAAGGGAAGAAGATAACAAGGATTAATTAAACATACGCATTTAATTGTCCTTCGAGCGAAAATTCGATTGTAATATACTTGGGTGATTTTTAAACCAACTCCAAAACACACACTTCAGAATTGATAATTCGATCATCTTTGGCCGATACATGATTGTCTTCTCAAGTAGTACCATCCACGATCAACCGTTTGCTTGTTTACGTTCTATTTTACACATTTATTTGTTTATTATCCAGTGGAAAGCACCGAGAATGACCATCCAGCATCACCAGAGAGCAGTGACAATGAAATGGAGACAACTTTCACGACGTTCAAACCAGAGACCAAAATGGTTTCAGCAAATCCACTGTATGACTCAGCAAGTCTTACAGGGCGACCTGGTCCAATAGGAGCTTCAAATCCTTTGTATGAATCAAGTAGTTCTTCAGAGATGGGCGGTGCTGGTGCTGTAGTAAACCACCTGTATGAATCAACCACCAGTGTTACGGGAGTTGGTGGTGCCCCAGTGGCTACAAATCCATTGTTTCAACCCACACCGACTGAGGAAGAAAAGAGAGGAAAAGAAAATTACGGTGCGAGTGGCGACGAAGATGGAGGTGATGCGACGTTTTAGAGGTAAGTGAATTGTAACTTTCCGGCTTTCAATCTCTCAAGATACAACCTCAAGAACAAGTGTGGGACAACTCGGAAATTTGTATGAAAACAAGCACTTTGTAGTGTTTGCTTCAAGATATACGGCATCTAGTTTAGTGCGCTCGACTCCGGATCGAGCGGTCCAGGTTCGAACCCCGAACGGGAACATAGTCCTGGGTTCTCACTTTACTCTCGCAGTGCCTCTCTCCACCCAAGTGTATAAATGCATACCGGCGAACACAATGCTGGGGGTAGCCCTGCAATGAAATATCACACTATCCAGGAAGGACAAAAAACACTCCTAGTCGCTACATGCTACAGAAACCGGAGATACGTGCCGGCCTGATTGGCCTCTTGGCTCGTATACAGACTTGTCTTTTTATAGAAGGGATGGAGGAGGAGTTTCAGCAATTTGCGATTTTTGGGAGATGTGCTTTTACTATAAGATATAGCTACTGTGTAACCTGTTTTTTATTTGGCAACCCATTTCGTATTAAAATACTTGCTCTTCGTTATTCACCAGGAGAACGGCGACCAAGACTGAATGATGGCGGCGAATATATACTACATGGTGACTGTTACAATATCACATATACCAAAGATGAAATAGCTAGATTTCAGGGTAGCTTATTTGAGATTTTGCCTTATTTTGCATGTTTTGAAGTTAAGTTTTTAGAGGGTCTGTATGGGTAGAGCTAGAATGAGGAATGCACATAACCATGCAAGACAGAAAGGCTGAGGATGAAGTATGTTCTTTATTTTTTTATTTTTTTGCGTATTCAGTGGCATTATCTTGATCAAATATTGAGCTTACCTAACGATAATGGATCTATCCACTGGCACAATATGAAAGACAATCTTCATACAAATACATTGTAAAAGCATGTAAACATTACTTTGCTTTTACCTTCCATAAATTTCATGGTCATGTCAGGTTTTGCCAAATTGCTGATCTTTTGAAAGGCTAAGAAATGTACCAACACAAGACTGAATAGCTCTGAACATTGATCCGCGCCGGTTACTGACATGTTAGGAACAAAATGTTATGCAAAATTGTTTTATGTATTGTTGCCTTAAAAGTGGGCTTAGGTTGACTGATAATGTCAAAACTAGTATTTCTTATCTGTGCTTGGGGAAAATTTATCTCTTTTAACATAAACTTTAACGAGATTTTGTTGTTCCGATCTTATAACAACTCACGAAATTTGTGAAATTAAAGGCATTAGGGTACTTGAAAAAAAAAAAAAGAAATAGAGGACGTCTATAAAGGGATTTTTGCTCAATTCTAAAGTAAAAATGTCATATAGCAAGAGTTATTATGGTTATGCCACTACCTGTAGTCTAATATCAAGATTTATGCTCACGATTGCATGTCATCAATTTAATTACAGCGACTCTTTTCATATATTTGTGTAACTTTTGATAAGATTGTTGGAATAAATGGCAGATGTTTGTTTATTCATTGGGGTCATCAATCATATAAGCCAACTTGCCGGATTCTTTGCTGTAATTATTGCAAACCAAACGCAACTTCGTTACGCTTCGCGGTGACCGATAAAGATGGTACCGGCCCCCAACTCGTTGCTCCCACCCCCACCCCCGAAGTTGGTATTACGCTGAAACGACGCACAACTCTTAGTTTGCAAAATTCTCGTAAGGGAACATTTGGTATTAAACAGTTTATTTCCGAAGTTTTATTGTATCTTGGAGGTTTATTTTGTTGACCAGGACTCCAACAACAAATGGAGACGGGCAAGAATCACGTTAAGTATGAAACTGGAACGGTTTAGCAAGGAACTGTCAGACTCATTGAATGGAACTTGATTTTTACCCCGGCAAAGTTAAATACAGAGAGACAAAACAGAGAAATAAATTGTTTTGTACTAGGTCTCATATTATCAAAAAAGCGCAGGGTTACTTAGGAACAGTCTATTCTTTCATTTGCACTGACAGCTGTTTCGAGCTGATATTGTACGTGACTACCTGAGTACTATTACTACTAAGTAATAAGGATAGGCAGCATGTAGCGTGCGAAAGTCCTAGCCAAAACAAGTCACACGTGATGGACAGTGAGGGGAGTGTGGAAATGAGACTTGCACGTGACGTGAAGCACGTGTCACGTGCTCTGTTTATAAAGTTACACAATTGCATTTCTCTTGCATTTTGCGAAAGCCACAATGTCAATTACAAGGGAAATGTTGACTACTGTACAGTATGTTCTGCAGTTTATTTCAACCCTGAATTTGTCACTGGAGATCAAACTTTATAGTGAAACAAGGAATATGCGGATGTACGAGTCAACGACTGAAATTAAGGTGATTCCCCAGTTTTGCACTGCGCATTCCTACTGCGCATAACATCAGCTCTTAATTTGCAACATTTCCAAGATGGCGGCTATGCGGCCTAGAGACAAGAAAGGTTGTTTTCGAAGACTGAAAGAGACTAAACGGAGAGAAATGTCAGCGGTTAACTGTAAAAGACCCGGAATAGTTGTCGAGGAGGTTGAAATGGGCACTGAAGCTCACTGTCACAAAGTTGCCTCGAGTTACGAGGGAGACGTATCGCGGAACTCATGTGTCAGCGAAAGAGTTGTAATGTAAGAGTTGTGGAGCTTCACTCCAGTTGTTGAATTGTTTTCGTGAAACGGTATCGGGGTTGGGGAGTTTCCTTTACATCACCTGCAGCAACAGTGACTGTGGAGAGATAAATGTCAGTCACACAAACAAGGCCCATCGTTCAAGTGACAAACGAAGAGGAAGACCGATTTTCGACGTAAACACGAAATTGGCAGCGGGTAGGTTCAATTTTAGGCTTGCAACTCGAAGTATTTCTTGATGAAATAAAAGTTTGTGGCCAAAAGTTATTCTAATTCTAATTTTCAATCAAAACCTCGTTAATTTAGGTATGTTACACGCCAGAATAGGGCCAAGTCACGTAAACGCGTTGTTGACTTCAATCAACATACCTCCCGTAAGTCAAAGTACTTTCAAAGCCAGAGAACGAGAAGTTGGTCCTGCCATCGAGGGAGTAGCGAAAGCCTCATGTGAAGAGGCAATGGAGGTGGAGAAGGAGTGCTGGAGGAAGGAGACAGAAGAAGTAGTTTCGATTGGCGCTTCGTACGATATGGGTTGGCAGAAGCGTGGCAAAGGACATAATAGTCTGACAGGTCTGATCAAACTACTCAAACCAGAAATTGCTGTTTTTTTTATTCGTATTTTATTTTCTGTTGTAAACCATCCGATAGGCTACTTAATTGTTTGACAGATCTATATACTATATATATATTCTTTGAAAGCTTCAGTCAAAAAGTTTTTTTATGGATTAATGCATTCTTTGAATGTTGTTCTTGTTATATTTATTACTACAATAATTTAATTTGTATCATTATTTTCATTTTAGTACCGTTGGTGATCTGCTTTAATATGGGGTCTTTGACTCTTTTGCATTTCATCCTTTGAATTCTGTTTTTGTACGCCATAAATTGTAAAAATTAAAGTAAAAATTAAAATTATATAGAGAGAGAGACATTCAGTATATTTTTATTTATTTATTTTTATTTATCTACATGTATCTTCATGTATCTATCTTTCTAATTATTTATTTATTTAGTTAGTTATTATCATTAAGTTATTTAGTTGGTTATTTCATCTGATAATTATTATTGTTGAATTTGTAAAACTAACATACATTGTGTTTATGTAATCTTTCAATGGAGATACAGTACCCAGCACTATGTAACATTACAGTTCACCACTAAATTTTCTCCAATTCTTATTGGTTTAAATTAATCACGTGACGTGATAGTGTTCATCCACAGAGAGACACTGAGCCCATAGTGCCCATCCGAGGAAAGTACCTGGATGGATAGTACTTGTCCGTGAAAATGTTTCTGTAAACAAGCGGTCTTATAGAAAATAAACAATTGAATTTGTATTAAGAGGGTTTTTGTTTGTTTTCTTTTTCAAATTTTACATTTGGCTTTCACAGCTTTCATCTAAAAAAGTTGAAAATAATTCAATATGATTTTTGAACTGGCACACGGAAGAAAATTTAATGGTGAACAATTAAGACAATAGAGTGTTTATGTCTCAGAAGTATCAGTCTGATAGTTGCCCCTTGGAAATTTGATGTTGTTAAAACTAGCATATTTGCCCTCAAAGCTTTGCTTCTTTGGTAAATATTTGTTTTAAGAACATCAAATTTCCATGGGGCAACTATCAGCCATCAGTTTAAATAGTGGCATTTTCTATAAACATTTAAACATTTAAGTAACTATTAATTTTCTACAGGTGTTGGGTCCATGGTTGGCCTTCAATCTGGAAAAGTGTTGGCATACAGTACAAGAAACAAGCGCTGTGCTGTTTGTCAGTCTGCTAAATGAAGTGGGCAAGAAGTAAGAGCACATGACTGTTGCTGCAATTGGTCTGGGTCATCAAAAGCACTGGAGCCAGACGTTGCTGTAGAATTGGCCAACAATGCAGGAAAGCATGGGGCTCAGATATCTATTCTAGTTGGGGATGATGACTCTTCAACCATAAAGAAAGTCAGAGAGAGTGTTCAGCATGATGTAGACAAGTGGTCGGATATTGTCCATGCCAAGAGGTCAATGGCAACCAGCCTTTATTCACTCCAGGCAAAACACAAAGGGGTCCTGAGCAACAAAGCAATTGATTACACCTGCTCAAGTGTTTTGGCTATGCACTTAAGCTAAACAAGGACAATGTCGAGGGGCTGTAAACCAGTCTGAAATCAATGGTTCCACATGTTTTGGCCATCATGAAAACTGCAGTAGTTCTTGGTGTGGCTATCTAATCAATCCATCAATGTACACCCACAACTCACTTCCACATGGGAAAGATCTTCAGGGGCAAGAGCTGGAAAGTGATCTGAAAGAAGTTGTGGACATTTTTGTTCAGAGTGCTGATAAGCTTGCCCCTCTGGGAAGCAGCCAGGCAAATTAGGCTTTAAACGACACAATTGGCAGTAAGGCTCCTAAGATCCGGCACTATGGTTCCAGCAAAAGTAATGACTACAGAGTAGCCTGTGCTGTGACCCAAAAAAATCTTGGTCACCCATTTGTGGCAGAGGGGAGAGCTTATGTATACATTGTACATTTTCCTTTGAGGATAATTATGATGATGGCAATAGATAGTAATTGATTGAAAATAATTTTGTTAAATAAATTTTATATATGTCATTAAAAAATAACTGAAATACTATGCATGCTCTCATCGGGTGATAGGTTTATTTAGATAAGGGTATGAAAACATGAGTGATACGTTAGATTTGCACCTATTATTGAGAAATATTTTATAAAAACAAAAGAGGACTTTTTCATGTTTACATAGCCTGATCTAAACACTTGTGCCTCATGTAGATACTTGGAGCTAGGAGAATTCTCAAAAATTATGCAAACCCTTGACTGCATCTCGAGTTTGTATAACCAGGGTTTGCACAACTGTCTTCAATTCCTCCAACTCCCCCGATGTTTAGATGAGGCTATGTGAACATGGGACAAGTCCTCTTTTTCTTAAATAGAGGTTCTAAAAGAATTTCAAGTCAGAAAGGGGATAAAAGCAGCACATCTCCCTTGACTTCTCCCATATATCTACCTGAAAAGTATGTGAATATTATTGCCATTAGGACCTGAGAGGGGATGGGAGTAAAGGCACTTTTTACTAAGTTTTAATTTACATCTGAGAACTACGATTACCTTCCCTTGCTTCTGATAATTGATCCCTTGGTTGTTTTGTGCCAAGATAGATATGCAGATACCACTAGTGATTATGATTTCTTTTCAACATCAAATGCCATATTAGGCACTGCAGAAAATACAGCTATCACCAGGAAGTAATAGTAAAACCTATGCAGATAGAGTAGACAGGAAGATGTCTAGACTTAGTCCGCCTATCAAAGAGCAGAGAGTTTAAGAAGCAGAGAAGAGACAGGAACGGAGAAGCTCAAATGAGAGGGCAAACAGTATGAGAGTGGTTTGGGATTTAGGAAAGAATCCCCACATGCCTAGGGTGAAATCCCCCTCCTATGACACTGACAGAAAGACGAAAAATTTCTTCAGGCAGCGATTTGAACAGAGTAGTTATTGACCTGGAGACCTCCTCAAGAGGTAAGTAGTGTTCTATCAGATACGAGTCTGCTGGTTTATATACTGTATGTCAAATAATATAAGTACGTGCATGTGACTTCACTGTTAATGTAATTCATGTGTTTGCTGTACAATCATGTACAATTGAGGATTTACAAATAATTATCATCTGGGATCCCAAGTGTGGTAGTTTTACTTCCCTAAGTCCTGGGTTCCCACATACTGTACCGTACTGACCTTCAACCATTAATTAGGAACTTGTTTGCCCTCCCAGGATCCTGGATTATGTACATGGCCAAAGACCAACTTGCATTTTTTTTTTCACAAACTGCTCATCAGTTAATAAAAAATCTCA